GCAGGCTTGGAGACAATGGAGAGATGGAACACCATTAGCATTGGTAGATCCAACAATCGGAGATACATATGCAAGAAATGAAGTTATTCGAAGCATCCATGCTGGCTTGCTGTGCGTTCAAGACGAAATTGAACAAAGGCCAACCATGGCTTCAATAGTTCTCATGCTCAATAGTAACTCTATAACGTTGCTTGCACCAAATCCGCCTGCATATTTTGGTCGTAGTAGAACACAAAGTTCACCTAACGATTTACCAGTATCTGATTCATCTACCAGCACCAAGTCAGCACCAAACCCGTCTATCAACGAAGTTTCAATCACTGAGTTACATCCCAGATAAACAACAGCAGAATGATAGACACCTCGAATCACGTCAAGTAGTTGCATAGGGAAAATTTGTCAAGATTTTGTAAGTTCATTTTTTAATTTATTGTTTTGTACTCTGCAGGTTTTATCTGAATTCTAGTACAGAAAGGTCATGAATATTGTATCCAAGAGGTGTAATAGGTTAGTGGCATTCTTCACTTTCGGTGCTTTGAGCATTTACTTGCAATTAGTGATCAAGTGCTCTAGACAATGGTATTGAAAGATTGGAAGACAGCGTTATAGTTGCATTTGTCTCCTTATTGATTATTACTAATTGATGCTAAGCCGAGTGCTAATTTTTGACCATGTGCAAGAGCCGATTGCTTTTGTCTGCTTAGGCTCATTGATAGGAGAGGTTTTGATATGACCAGCCATCCAGACTATGTAGTCTCCGGCCGCAGTTGCTTTGGAGAATCCAGAGACGATGGTCAACTGCAAAGCCGCCAGAGTGTAATGACCATTTCAATTGGAAAAGAAAATATAGATGGTTTGACGATGGGATATATGATAAAGAAAAGAATAGCACAAACAAGTATAATAATTGGATGACAGCGGGGATAGATTGACCTTCATAGGGCTGCAAACGAATCGAGCCGCTCGCGAGCCGCTCGAGTCAAGCTCGAGTCGAGCTCGTTATTAATCGAGCTCGAGTCGAGCTCGAGCCAGCTCGAGCTCAAAATATTAAGCTCGTTAGCTCGCGAGCCGACTCGCGAGTTTGGGTATATATATATATTTTTATTTTTATTTTTATTTAATAATAAAATTACGTATATTATATATATATTTTTTTATTTTTTATTTTTATAGTAAAATTACGTATATATCCTTAATATTTTATTATTTATTAAAAAAAATTAATTTATTTATTTTTTTTTAAAATAAAATAATTATTTTTAATTTTTTTTCGAGCTCGAGCTCGGCTCGACTTGATTCGAGTCGAGCTCGAGCTCGAAATTTGCCGGCTCGTCGAGCTCGAGCTCGAGCTCGAACTTGGTAAAATTTAATCGAGGCTCGGCTCGATTAGCTCAAAGCTCGACTCGGCTCGGCTCGTTTGCAGCCCTAGACCTTCAAATGATTGGGCAAAGCTTTCTGTCTTACCCTGATTTAAGAAAAATACATGCTTGTGGTCATCAGAATTAGGCTTTTATTCTCAAAACATACTACTTCATTATGCTTTTGGTTTATAACGTTTAGATTCGGAATGCTTTGCTACAGTGACTTGCATTATATATATATATATATATATATATATATATATATATATATATATAGCTAGAAGGGCTATTTCAATAGCAGCATCCAAAATGCCTATACGGACTCAATTCATTATTTCGAGATAAGGGATAAATAAAATAAAACCAATAGAAATAAGTCTTGGGAAATTGCAATTTTTTTTTAAATTTTAGACAGAATATTTCCTTTTTTTTTTCCTTCATCCCTTGCATTAAAAGAACATATTTCAAAATGATATGATTCAACCTCAAACCTATTTAAATGTAACAAATAACAGCGGAGCTCAAGAATTGATGTGTATTCGAATCATAGGAACTAGCAATATATATATATATATATATATACTAGGAAAGTGCACGTACATTGCGTGTGTTTTGTTGCACTAAAACTTGTCATGCTTCTATGTTATATATACTGTTGGCAAAGAATTAACAAAAAAGTAAATAGAAACGCTTATTTTAAAAGTTACCTTTTCTATGAAGCCATGTTGACTAATTGTGTGTTCAATTTTTTTTCCTTCAAATGATCTCTAATCTTTTCATTTCTTTTATAACCATTTGTCTTTATTTGTTAGCTATAATGTGTTGATGCATAAACTTCTAGAAAGACATAAACAATTATTGTGATAAATAAGATATTGTATGATACTTTGCTTTCAAGTTATTTGTGTAAAATGACAAATATGGTTACTATAAAAATGTAAATGCCATAATTGATAGAATCCGTTTGAGTGCCTATAAATCATTTGATAAGTAAGTATCACCTATAAGTGGCGTTTTTATGAAACTAAGAAATGAGAAAAAGGTATAATAAAGAACTTGGTCTAAACTACCACTAAACTGATTTGATGTAAAACACAAAAGAGTCCACAAATTGCAGTAGAAAAGATGAAACAGAACTAATACTATAAAATGAGAAGAAAAACTTCTAATTAGTGACATACTTGATGTAAAAATTTAATTCAACAGGATGTCCCATAGAAGTGCTTGGGCATATGGAATCATAACATCATATTTTTAGTGCAAAAAAAAAGAAAATTATTTTTGTACAACACTGTTAACAATATTGATGTAATATTTAGTATGTATTCATTTGTTGAAAGTCATGCACATATCAATGGATATGATGGTGGATAAAACTTGATTGCACACGTTTGATAAAATATAATAAGCCACATAGGTTAAAAGAAGAAGAGATAGCATAGACTTGCTAATTGAGACTTTTGTTTTTTGTAAATTTATGTTTGCATGCGTAAAATCTATTTACATGTTTTTAGTGTGTAAGTGCTGAGATCTCCCACATGCACTCCCATCCCACAACATAAAATATATTTACTTAATGCTATTTTCGATAGCTTAAAGAGTTAAATATAAAAAAGGTTAGAAATGATATAATTTTATAAAAAGTTTTGAAAGAAACATACATGTATATATGTGTGTGTGGGTTTTTTGTCCTTTCATTTTAAAGTCATAAGTTTGTACTTGATCTTATTTCATAAGTAGCTGTTTTATTAATATCAACCGAAACTATAATTTAAGGATTTGCGAGTTAGTACAATTATTAAGTTATAGAGCTTCCAAATTGATTCTATAAATGTTGGCCAGCGATAGGATTCAAAATTGGATAAGGATAAGACTTCATAAAGAGGAAAATATTATAGACAGTGGATATGTGAAGAAGTTTTCATTCCATTAAGTCAAGCTTCTTAATGGGTTTTGTGATTCCTATCTTCATTATCAACTTACAATAAAATTAGGAGAAAGAAAATTTATGTTTATGAGATTGTTTCCTTGATACTCTCTTCTAATATAAACTTGAAAAGTATAATAAGATTGACCTGAAAATTCATCCCTACTGATGCCAAGTAACATTTAGTATCTACCAAAGAAGGTTACATTTTCAAAGGAAAGCGAACAATTCAAGAACTCCAAAAAAAAAAAAAAAAAAAAAGGAAGTCCTCATACTATTAAGAATTAGCAAAACTCAAAGTTGGTGCACGTAAATTAATTAACCTTCAAACTCATATAGTATTCATGTAGAAGGAGCATTACGAATCTAATTTTGTATGCACAACCAATTACGTATAGAGCTAAACACTTGTGAACAAAGACAATTAATGTTTTTTTTCTCCAGATAATAGCTTAGAATTTGAGGAAAAATTAGAATCCCAAAAAAAAAGTAAAAAAAGGCAAAGTACATGAAGTTAATTTAAGACTTATTCCACACATTTCATACCTCAAAACTTTTTCATGTCTGCTGCATAATAACAATACAAAATCTAAAATCAATCTTTCTGAATAGCTGATGGTGTCATGACATGATCCCTTCTCATCGAGAGACCAATGAGTCGAAGGCAAACGTTATATTCGTTAATTATAATAATACTGCAATTGAATAAAAAACAGCATCTTTGCAAGTCGCAATTCCCACATAGAATAAGACAAGGCTCCTGCTACAGAATTTGCTATTTGTTTTATCACTTTAGTCCTCAGACTTTTTTCCAATACGTTGTTTAATATCTCCATTTTATAGGTTAATTTTAAGTGTCATGAAAGCTGATTAAAGAAAATATTAATTTTCCTTTGACGAAACTACCTTTCTTTAGTCTAAAAATTAAAAGCATGAAAGAATACTATACTTTCAAACACATATGCAGCTATATTCGCGTTGTGTGTTTTAGTACTATTTATTTTCATTGGAAACTTAAATCCAACAACTATTTTGTCCAATCTCTATTTTTTAGGACAAAAAATAATAGAGAAGGAAAAATTCATGCTATTATTGTATGAGTAAAATAAAGGCTACATGAAAGATACTTTTCAAAGTAATTTGTAAATTGGGTCTTTCTATGTACGTAGACGAAAATACAATTCAAGGTTCATATACACACTTGGGATCCTCGGTGACATGTTTTTCTATGCCAACCCAATACCACCTATAATATTGCGCTAAGTGTCCTGTTATTATTTACATTTTAATTTCTAATAATTCAACTTGGTTTGGTTTAATACAAGTGTAAATAATAACAGGACACTTGGCACAATATTATAGGTGGCATTGGATTGACAAAAAAATATGTCACCGAGGATCCCATGTGATACACACATGCCTTGAGCATTAATTTAGATTAGCAGTAACAAATGATCTTAAAGTTCTTTTTTCTTTTTGTGTCATCATTTAAAAGTCAATATTAAGAATGGTCTTAAAAATTGTCAAATGGAAGGAAATTTGGGTTTTTTTTTTGGTTAAAAATGTATTAAGTTGAATCTTTTCAAGCTTTATAAATAAAAATCACCCATAAAGTTTGTGTAACGATACATTTGTAAACCTTTTATACAACAAATCACACAAAAAATTGCTATACATTAGGTTCTCATGCCAAAGTAAGTTTGTCCACTATAATGGCCCCAGGTTTGTGGGCATCAAAAGTGAACTAAAAGCTACAATTACAATCAGAGAATAAACTAAAATCATATAGAGAGAGGAGCACTTGCACCATCACGAGTTACTTCAAAAGGCTTTTTACTACAATCAAAAATCCATTACACTTGCAAGCTATATTAAAGTTTATCCGTACTCAAGAGTATAAGTCAGGACATGCCATGCCATTACTTCTCTTTCTTCATTTTCTTGATAAGTTAAATTGATTATTAAAAAATCTACACTTTAATAAGAAGAGCTGCATGAAGTTTGCAGAAGTAATTGGTTCAAGTAAATCTAATGATTTTAGCATTCACTGCAATAGCAACAAAAAATTCGCTGCAAAAAGATGATGATTTTGGCAGTTATCTCACGGTCTTACATGAAAGGATGGCATAATTGACATTGATAAGAATGGTGCCTTAAATATTTAGTGACTTGAAAGATACGAATTTAGAAAGAAGGCATTACCTTTTCTTCTCTTGAGACTGGGGAAGTTCTATTGTGGACCATTTGTTTCTAAGATAGTGCACGTGTGAAAAATTATATTTTTGTCATTCACTACCAGTGATACAAAAAATGTTGAAAAAATACATTAACAATCACCTGTATGTTGCAGGACCAAATGTAAAAGTAAAATCACAAGGTATTCTTGGGCATTAAGAAGGACTTACTACTAAGTGGGATTTAAGAATCACTACTTTTCCACGATACTTGATCCAAAAGATAACCCATATAATTCAAAGTTTTTAAGACAATCACAGCTTTTAATCCTTGATTCTAAATAAATCCAAGTTGAATGAAATTTGGAATTCAGGATGGGAATTTACTACTCAAATACAAATAGCATATTTTAGGACAACAATGAACCATCAATGTTGAAGAACAATTCTTTTTTTTTTTTTTTAAAAGAATGAAATAATTAGAATATGATGGTACAGTCATGTATTAAAACATATTAACTATATTCATAAGAAAAGGAATAAATAGCTTCACTTGAGAAATTTAAAACAAAAACACCTATACTCATGCAATAACAATTAATAAACTTGAGGCTTCAATTTTTTATTCTGTAAACACACATCACCCTTGGTTTGTTGGTATATGCTGCTGGTTTTGTAGATTGACCCTCCTGTTTTCTACATCTTGTCAGCCATGGATCAGCTGCTGATTGTTGGTTTTTGTCCGACTTATATATCTAATGGCTGAATGACTTTGACCTCAAACAGGTTACATATCTGGTTCAAATATCGTCAATCTCTTCACATGGAAAGTATACCATGTTGATGAGTTTTATCCTATGCTTAACTACATATTTTATGGGAATAAATTGTGGTACCCTCCTTCCAATTCCACTAATAGTGAAGGTCATTTCCAGTTCTTACTAAATTGATATGAATTTATCTGAACTCTCAATTGCAATTTTATTTTAGGAGTAGTTAGTAATTCAAGTCTTTCACCCTTGTAGCTATTGAGCCCACCTGGTAGTCAACAACTACACTCATCGTATTCCCATGTAGATTGTATGGATTTCATTACTTTTTCTCCTTTGATCCGTTATTTTGACAAAATCCAGTATTAGAATTTAAATCGTCTCATTTGAATCTGAACATTTCACTTGTTAGATCCTTACCTACTTTAAAAGCATATTTTTGAGATAAAGAACTTTTATCAAAATACTCAGAGGGGGGCTGACTCTCAACAAAAACAATTGTTGCAATCGTTGTCCCAGTCTCTATTGCCATTTTGCTGTTTATTGTGGGCTTCTACATGGCAAGGAGATCCAGGAAGAAATATGATGCCATTATCGCAACAATCGGTATATTATAAGGACTAAGAAGTGCAGTTGAAGTAAACATATTTATCATTCTTAAAAGGGTCGATTCATTTAATTCACTAAGTTTGTATCATTTTTTTTTGTAGGTACAAGTGAAATCTCAATCACAGAATCATTACAATATAACCTCACTGATATTCAAGCTACCACGAACAACTTTGCCATTGGAAACAAAATTGGTGAAGGTGGATTTGGTCCTGTATACAAGGTACATTAAGTTTAAGCCATTTTCAAGTATGCTGAAAATTTATGAATATGATCGTTGTAAATCAAACTTTTGCTTATACTTTGTTAATTTGCAATCAGGGTACACTTCATAATGGACAAGAAATAGCTGTGAAAAGACTATCAAGAAGCTCAGCGCAAGGTACAAAGGAATTTAAAAATGAAATTACCCCGGTTGCTAGGCTTAAACACAGAAACCTGGTCCGACTACTTGGTTTCTGCTTGGAAAGAGAAGAAAGGATACTTATCTATGAATTTATTACCAACAAAAGCCCTGACTACTGTCTCTTTGGTAGGCTTCAACTTCAAGTCAAATACTCGTGATTTATTTTGGAATTGCCGAGCCGTTTGTGGAAATCAAATTTTGTAGGCAAAGAAACTAACAAGACTTGTCATGTTTGATGTTTGCATAGACCTAGAAAAGCAGCCATTGTCAAATTGGTCAAAACGATACAAGGTCATAGGAGGAATAGCAAAGGGACTTCTTTATCTTCATGAAGATTCACGACTTAGGATTATACATTGCGATCTTAAAGCCAGTAACGTATTACTAGATAGAAATATGAATCCAAAGATTGCTGATTTTGGCTTGGCAAGGCTCTTTGAAGTTGATAAAACTGAAGGAAACACAAGTAAAATCGAAGGTACATTGTAAGTTCTGCACCCTTATCTTGTTATGCTACATGTTTATATGATTGTAATATTGCAAGAGAAATTTCTAAAGTTATGATGGTTTTTAAAAAAATTCTACAAAGGGGGTTTTTTGTGTAGTGATTTCTGTTTTTAGGGTCTTCGCATTCCTCAAATGCGAGCTCCTTGAGCTCGCATTTGATGAATGCGAACTCTCCATAAATTTTCTACCACCGAGATTAAAAAAAAAATCAAAAAACAAAGCTGGCCTCGCATTTCTGAAATGCGAGGTATAAGACCTCGCATTTCAGAAATGCGAGTTATATGTACCTCACACTTCACAAATGCGAGGTCATGTAGCTCGCATTTCTGAAATGCGAGGTCATGTACCTCGCATTAAACCACAAAACCTCCGTTGTCTAGTGGGCGCTGCAAGCTGCAATTTTACACTTATGATTATTGCTAGTGATCAGGTATTGACCATGTACCTATGTTGTCTGCTTTCCAATAACAGGATTCTAGATTTTGCCTAAAAATATTTCTTTTTGCTTCAGTTGTAATGCCATTTTCTCTTGCTTTATGAATTTATTGCAAATTGTAAATGATTTACAATTTGCAATGCAAATTTCTACAAATTTGACTACTTAAGGCTCTAAATTCATCACAACTGGAAAAAAAAGATCCCATAATATTGACATCAATAGTTGATAATAAGTTGGGGGAATAAATCTTAACCAATCTAGCAAGCTCTTTGGTTGGACTTTAGCGTGCATCCGATAAATACAAATTTGTAGAAACTTGCATAAAAAAAATTCTATTAATTGTTAAATTACTTATAGAATTTGTTTATTTGTTAAATTCATTCTTAATAGTTTACCATAAACTCTTTGTTGTTAAAAAATATATGTAGCTGATGTTGTAAAGTGTATTAATCTAGTACGTCAACAATTTTTGCAAAGTGTATTAATGTAGTAATTAAAAAATTTACGTATCTATAAACTAATTGAGAATTCGTAGTTACTCAACTACTTATATTAAAAGTAACATATTATATACCACATAACAAAAGAAAAGTTAGCAATTATTATTTATAGTTAAAAAAAAAATAAGAATGAACAAGAATAGTAGTTAATTTTTTTGTTATTGATACTACTAATAATTGATTAATCAATTTCTCTAATTTGCTATTATTGATACTACTTAGATTTGCTTATTTGTTTATTGTAATTTATTATGATTAATATACATACATATATACATTTACTTATCTTTTTTGGAAAAAATTTGACAGAGTCTCCCCTTAAAAGTGGCGTAAACTCCCTGGCAGCAAATCCACACACAAAACATTTAATCTGAACAATAAGTCCTACATTGAAATAACGGCCCTGCCAGCAAATCCAGAAACAAAACATTTAATCTGACATTGAAATAACAATATATTGACATGTCAACTGTGTTAGACTTGTAACATATGCCTAGCACATTAGCTACATTCTGATTAATCAAAAAACAAAGATTACAGCCTGTGACTAATTTCCGTGTTCATTTCGCTCCACTCGGCTTGTGTTTTGACCACCACTCAATGCCTCCAATCTGTCTTCGATCGCAGACAATCGCCCCTCGACTGCATGTACTCTCCCATCCAACCGATCAACCACTTCACGCATTGCACGCATCTCAGTGATCACAGCTCCAATCATGTCCTGAATCGTTCGCCCATTTGTAGCTTGAGAAGACCCTGCATCAGTTGTGGCCTGCCTGTTTTCGCCCTCTTCTTGTTGTTCTTCCTCACCCAATTCTGTTTCATCGCGATAGGCAATTCGGTCCATTGTGGCTTGGTTCACCATTGCTGATGCAGTGTTGTACGATTCGCCTGTCAAATTTACACCGAAGTGCTCAAAGATACGCGTTAGTGTCCTAGCATAGGGTAGTGCTTTCTTAGCCCCCTTAAACCCTGCAGTTCTTGACATGGCACCGAGTATGATTGTGGATATCGGAATCCCTGATACATTGCCTAAACCAGCCTCTAATTTGTCTAGGAAATAAACATCCATTACCCGGACTTCATTCTTGCTGCTTGAAGCCGGCAGAATGTTGTGGTTCAACAAATATACCAATAAACTGTGCCGGAGCCTAAGACACCGTGTGGGAATAGGTGCCGATTCCATTCTTAAGTCCCCCGTGATAGGATCCGCTATGGTTTTAAAAGAATTAAAGCTACTGGCATACTTAGGGAGAGTGACCTCGAATTGCCATGTTGGATCCCCCTTACTAATAGAAATTATTAATCAGTTAGACTAAATTTACTAATATATTTATACTAATATATTTAATTAGTAAAAATTTCTTATATCTCATTTACAAAGAGCCAATAATTATCATTTACAATGTGATTTATAATATATTTATTATATTCCATTCCGAAAGAGTCGACGAACCAAACATCAACTATAGTAATGATACACATTCCAGATACTTGAACCAAACAAATGTATTGGAATGAATGATCTCATTTCAAACCCAAGATATCCGATTCCGAATCCGAATCCAATTCCGATGTGCGAACCAAACGCCACCTTAGTTTTTTCATGTGGTTGGTTAATTTGCGAGCCAGCGTTCTTTTTCCATATTATTTCAAATTTGCCATTCAATTGCACTACCGCCAATAAAATTATCAAAATGCTATTTTTAAAAGCACCAAAAAACTAAGTTTTTCTTAAACACTGATTTTCTAACCTCTAACTTAACGTAAGAATTAATTTTTTTCTAAAGAGGCGAATAGTATCTTGACATTAATAAACGTTTACTGGTTCTGTTAGGCATTAATTTTATGTTGGTCTTTTTGTACCTTTTAAATTCTCTTTGGATTAGCACTTTCCTCTTAAAAAGATAAATTGAAGAATTATTTAATGTATATTATCATTCTAAATATTTCTCAATTGGATTTTTTTATGTAAGCCACTTGAGTACACATAAATATTTATGGCACTTTTATTACAAAAGAAGTTATAACATATTTATGACATCATGGGTCAATTACAATTAACCCAATGGTTGTATTAATGATCTCCAACCCAATCTTTTTTTCCGGGTAGATGTCCAATCTGGATTTCAAAACTTTGGTCAGCAGTTAATGTGAGCAATTGCTTCTTCCTAGTGTCCTTTTATGGGTCTTTCGAATGAATTTACCATGTAAATGTACAAAACAAGAGTTATTACTATTCCTTCTATTTGTACTCATCACTTTTGACTTTAATTTGCTAAAAAAATGATACCTAAATTCTATCTTTAACAAGTGTCATCTGGGCACTTTTTAGATAGATCTTTCTTGTATAGATCATAAAATAGCTTTCGCACGTAATAAATATTTATCTCACAGTCGATTACATTACCTTAATATAGTCAATGCTTTATTGGTAAAACCAAATAATTAATATTTTCTAAAATATCAATTTTCTATGTGGATCATTTAACAGAAGGAATAAAAGTCAATTGGGTTAGTAGATGGATGCCACTCAAGCAAAAGTAGTAGGAGAGAGGCGTCTGAACAAATTTCATAATCGATATTATGTTAGTGTATAATTTTAGCATCCCATGTCATTTAGCAAGAAATTCGTAATAAGGTCAACTCAAATCATTTGAATATCTCATAAATATTCCGGATAAAATACAGTTAAATCTATGCCAAGAAATGTTTCTCGCACTCAAGGTTTATTTCCTTCACATGGAGTGCAAAAAATCACTTTGAGATTGGAGTGCATTGACCATTCTGATTATTTTTAACTTTTTTCATACTATTCTACATAAAAATGAAACTCTATAATATGCATATTTGAATTGGAAGTTAAAAAAAAAAAGACCACCAGCAGCGTGTGGTGGGGGTAATTGTTGCACAATTGTTTAAGGCAGACATTAAAGTTGGTCTTGGACAATAGCCAAAAGAAAATTAAATAAAAGATGAACAATAAGTATATAGAAAAAGGCATTTCATAAATGAGTCAAATTTTATTAGTGATAACTCAATCATAGCTAATTAGGGCTGCAAACGAACCGAGCTGCTCGCGAGCGCTCTAATTAAATGAACTTCTAATATGATAATGCGGCTTAAATTCTTAAGGTTGATATTGGAGAGTTTTCACTAGTCCCTCTTTTGATGTAACGAGAAGAAGATAAAATTACAACCAATTTAGTGGACGCTTGATAATTGCTAATGTGAGGCCCCGCAAATTTCTTACATTTTTTCCCTCAAAAATGCCTTTTATTTGAAAATTATTATTTACTAAAGCCCTACTACCCCATTTGTTCCACAATAAGAATAAATAAACCGAGAAAGTAGGGTTTCACTTTTGGTTTCAAGATTAGAGCAAAATTAGGGTTTTCGCGTTTTTCCGCCGGATGAATTTTCGGTACGGAGCAAGGACTATATTTGGTGATTAAAAGTGGCTTTTAAGTGAGAAATCATATGTGATTAGGGACAATGAGATAAGGTTAGTGAATAGGAAGTAAAAACCCTAGTACACGTGTTTTTAAGAAAAAACGGCGCGAACCGGCGGGTCCTGCGCACTACCGGTTGAACGCACCACTTGACCACCACTTTCTTACCATACAAGCTCATTAATATTTGAGCAAAATATCTTCTTAATTGTCAGCTGCCTTTGACCGAAAATTGAGGCTAAAATAACAAGGAAAAGGAAAGAGAAAAATGAAAGGTGGTGGTGGCGACTAGAGTTTCTTGGCCAAGAGAGCAACTAACCTTCTTATTTCCAATTTTGCACTTTGCTCTTCATTTTTTCTGCTGCTGGCCGACCAAAAGAGAGAGAGAAAGGGAGAGCAAAAGAAAACTTCTTTCTTCTTGAATCTTAGCCAAACCAAGTGAGAAAATCGATTTCCAAACCGATTAAAGTGTTAATTGTGAGTTGGGAAGCTAGAGGAACTAGAAATTTTCAAAGGAGGTGGATTATCACTCATCCAAGCTTGTCTTTGAGGTATTAAATCTGATCATGGTCCTTGATCTTTTAAATCTTGCGTTAAGATGTTATTTAGCTTAAGTTTTGGCTTGATTCCAAGATGTGCAAGTGGTTGTGATGATTATTGGATGAAATAAATAAGTTAGGGTTTGATTAATTTCTGTCTACACTTGTTGTATAGTTGCATATGTTGAAAATAAGTTTATGTAAGGGGCTTTGGTAGTGATTGGAATAAGAAATTTGAGAAAGTTTCATTGAAGATCAACCAATTCCAGATTTCTGGAAAATTTCCCCCCTTTCTACCCGTTTTTGTTGCTCCATGTTAGAGGCCGAATTGGCCTTAGGTCAAAACATGAAAGTTGTAGAGAATGGTATTTTATAATTGCCCACAAAATTTCAGCTCAATCGGAGCATCGTAGCTTGTAAAAAGATGAAAATACCCTCGCTGATCTAGGTCACTTTCCAGAGTTCCACGTGGACAGTTTAGTCCTTTTTGGTTGAGTTATTCACTATAATCCGTTTGGATTTAGTCATTTGTTAAAACATGAAAGTTTTAGTACCCTGTCTTAGCTTTGTAACGCCACTAAGAACGTCTTAAATGGACTTTGGTAGACTGAGTTATGGTCATTTGAGTGCAGTGCGATTGATTAGCCGAATAGTTGAAACCAGGTTACGTGAGTTGGGAATTTGATCAGGTTACACTGGAAATTAGACTAAGTACTCTTCATGAAAGTGGTAGGCCTTTGTCTTAGCTTCGAAATGGTATAAGCTGCGTATCAATCCGATAAGCGTAGCCTCGGATATGTTATTTCCGCAAAGCCCGTCAAATCTGTCTTTTGTAATTGCATTTCCGCACTTGATATTAGCTTAATCTTTGTTCGTGTGTTGTTGTGAGCCTATGGAATGGCTATTGAACTGAATTTGTGTTCTGGACTTGTTTTGTGTACAATATTGGGTTGGATTGAGTAAGAATGAAACCATAAATGGCTGGAAATTAGGTAAACACAAAGGGCATGCTGCCCGAATTTACGCTTGAGGGCTATAGAAATACCCTTGCGACTTGGGTCGAGTTAAGATGAATAGTACTTGAGCCACCTAGGACTTTGGCTATCTTGGTTCGAGGGTTATACGTTAAAACTTAGCTGAACTTGTACCCTTGAGGAAAAGACATAATGGCCAATGTAAACTTGTATTTCCTTGTACTTTCAACTCGAGTGTTATTCCCAAGTATATATATGCTACAAAACCTTACGATTTGAAAAGCGAGCAAGTGTTTCACGAATGTCTATCAAATGAATTTCAATTGGTCAATTCTTAATGAACGAAACGTTTAAATTTCGAATCCTACTCGTGTTTCAAAGTTCTCAAACTGAATTTTTATCGCAGATCTGGACTCCAAGCCTGGAGTATAATTGAACGTGAATACTTGAAGCACTATATTTTGGTGAGTGCTTCCAAATATCCGATTGTACTTGATACATGTGTTCATTACTTGACTTGTATGATTACATGAAAATGAATGATAGGGCAAGGGTGTGCTTTACCACACTTACCCTAATATGACTTGTTCTTGCTATTGATTACACGTGACTTGCTCTACATGTACTTGAGATATGTCTTGCCTGGAATTCCAGAAACCCTGTGGCTAGTTAATCGAGTCGAGCAGGCAAGGGCCTGGTCGATTAGATAACGAACCCTGGGTCACTAGTAATGTCGAGTGGAGTGTTATCTTCTCGACTAAACGGTATACTCGAGTATTACCACTCATGTTTCGTGTGGCGTGCGGGCCCGAGAAAGGGGGTTGATTGGTGGACGGAGATTGGCGTGTAGTGGAGTTTTATTTTGGACTTGTTATTACTTGAAAGTTGACGGAGTGTCAACTACCCATTGATCAAGCTGGAATGGAGCCGAGAGATGAGTTACTGTATCCTTATATATGAATGCGAACCTGATATTACTTGGCTAGCTGAAGTACTATTTCTCTGAATTGACTTGTTTGCTCGCTATTTTACTCTCACTATGCTATCACTTGGTTTGTTGGCCAATTTGATATTTGGAACTTCACTGAGTTTTGGCTCACCCCATTAGTTTTGTTTTCCTTACAAGGGTACGAGCGAAGCGTGAGACGTGTAAAGGCTAGCGTAGTCTAGTTGCTCTTGATTTTGTTTTGAATTTTGACTTATACTCGCACTATTCCTCGAATTGATTGTTTTGTACTTGGATTGTATACGCTTTGAACTAATTTGAGTATATCGAGACTTTGTACCCTGATTCCTATCCTTGTATGTTATAAGCTTGAATTGGGAATGTTATTTATGGTTCATGGTGGATGTGTATGTACGTGATTCGCGTGAGCTAGTGAGTGAGTCCTGGCGAGAACTGGACAGGCGGTTCGCCGAACCCTTTGGTACGCCTTAGGGGGAGGTGTGGTCGTCACAGACAGCAGCAAAAAACTGACAATTTTGAGCAAATGATCAGTAGTTTTGTTGGTCTTGAATAGAAATTACCACCAATTTACTGGTCGCTTTAGCAACAAGAATATGGAATTAAAGTTTGTCTCCATCATTACAGTTTTTAACAAAATTGCAAGGTCGAAACGTTGAATGGCTTTTTATGGTCCCTGCTTCTTTCAATTCACTGTATTCAGTGACATATGCAGAAATGTAAGATGATTTTTTGTTTTAATTTGATTAAAACCTAATCAAAGTTTGTATTCATCTTCGTGCAATAGTTTTTGCTGAATTTCTCTGCATGTGTAAAAGCTAGCTTCATGTTAAGTAGTAATCCAACCAGATCAAAGTTTTAGCTCATTAATATCTGAAGCATTTGATTTAGGCAAAATGGGAAAACGTATTCAACTTATTTTGGTTTTCTTGCACTATCAAATGGTCTTTTCTTCATCTCCCACCAATGCAAGCCATTTATGCCTTAGTGACCAGAGCCAGTTCTTGTTGCAATTCAAGAAAAGCATTGATATAGACAACACAGCTTCTTCAGGCTATGATTCCAATGGTGTGCCTTCTTATCGGGGGCGAATTCTTGGAACAGAAGCACAGATTGCTGTAGGTGGGATGGAGTAACATGTAATGAGCTAAGTGGTGAAGTTGTTGGCCTGGATCTTAGCTGCAGCCAGCTTCATGGGGTAATCAATTCCAACAGCAGCCTCTTTCAGCTTTCTCACCTCAAATGGCTCAACCTTGCTTACAATAATTTCTTTTCTTCACTGATTTCCAGTAAGTTTGGTGGGCTTTCGAGTTCGACACACCTCAATCTCTCCGGCTCTGGATCTTCAGGTCAACTTCCATCTGAATTCTTGAGCTTCTCCAATTTAGTCACCCTTGATCTCTCACAGCCTTTGCAATATATTAGAATCCAACCGCCTGTTTTTAAGTTGCTTCTTCGAAACTTAACACGGTTAAGAGAAGCTTTTATTTACAGGTGTAGATATTACTTCAGTAATTCCAAGTAATCCGTCAGCTTCATTAACAATTCTGAACCTTGGTAGCACAAATTTGTATGGCAAATGCCAGGCCAGCTGACATTTTCGAACTACCAAACTTGGTAAGAGTTGAATTGACTAACAACCATGACCTTTATGGTTACTTGTCAGATGTGAAATGGAACACCACCACCAGTACGCTGAGTTATCTAGCTCTTTCTGAAAGCGGTTTTTCTGGAGAAATACCAGAATCCATTGGATATTTGAAATTCTTAAGCTAGTTAGATCTCTCATCCTGCAACTTTTGGGGTCCTATACCTGAATCTCTTGGGAATCTCACCAAAATGAATTATTTGATGCTTAATTTTAATAATTTGACTGGCCAGGTACCCTCCGGACTTGGAAATCTTGAGCAACTCATTTTCTTAGACTTTTCATATAATAGTCTTGAAGGGCAAATGCCCCAATAGTTTCAGCAATTTCAACAATATGCAGAAATTATCTGTAGGTAATAACTATTTCAGTGGGTTTTTTTCCTGCTTCAGTGATCAACTTGACAAATCTTGAGGGTTTAGATTTGTCATAGAATTCCTTTACAGGTCCAATACCCTCCCACAATGTTACCGGATTGCAAGACCTAGATTTACTCATGTTGGGAAGCAATTTCTTGACCGGTGCAGTACCCTCTTAGGTGTTTAGCCTTCCCTCATTGATATTTTTAGACCTTGAATCCAATCAACTTACTGGCCAACTCTATGATTTCCAGTATAAATCAATACAGAGAATTTATCTGAGTGGAAATAAGCTGGATGGTCGTGTTCCAAAATCAGTTTCAAAACTTGTAAATCTAGCACTGCTTGATCTGTCATCAAACAATTTCGGCGGTGTTGTGCAGGCTAGCATGTTTTCAAACTGCAACCAGCTTCAAACTTTTGATCTTTCTAACAATAACATTTTGCTGATCACTGATGGTGTTAATTCTACCTTGCCTCAATCTGTTGCATTTCTGTTTTTGTCCTCTCGTGGAATCAAAGATTTGGATTTCTTAGTGCCTGCAAATAACCTATATAAGCTAGATCTTTCAGAGAAATTGCTCCATGGTGATATATTTTCAGATAAAAAATGGTATAACTGGAGTCAGCGTTTGTTCTGCTTGAATCTCTCCTACAACTCTCTAATTGATCTGAGCCAACTTCCATTCCCAAATCTGGTTTATCTAGATCTTAGCTCATGCTTGTTGCAAGGGCCTGTGGTTATTTCACCTGCCAGCATACAGGTCTTCATGATTCCAGATAACAATCTTACTGGAGAAATCCCATCATCAATATGCAAATTAAGCTCACTCGCTATTCTTGATTTGTTGAACAACAACTTGATTGGCGGAATTCCTCTATGTTTGGGGAACATGAGCATGGACCTTTCAGTGTTAGATACGCACAAAAACCACTTTGGGAACATTCCAGCAACTTTTCCAGTAGGAAACAAACTGAGTGCTCTGAATTTGCGTGACAATCAATTAGAAGGAGCACTGCCAAATTCTCTTTCGAATTGTAGAGAATTGAAAGTTCTTGATCTTGGAAACAACAACTTTAGATGGTTGGGAACTCTTCCAAAGTTGCAGGTACTAAGCTTGAGATCCAACAATTTGCAAGGCAACCTAAGAGTTCAAAAACTGTCATTCTCTTCCCTGAGAATCCTTGACCTTTCAAACAATAACTTCACTGGGAGTTTGCCAGCATGACTCTTCAACAATCTCAGAGGTATGATGAGAATAGATGGAACGACAGCACAGTTGAACTACATGGGGAATAACCTTTATAAAGATTCTGTAGTTGTGATAATTTTTTTAAGGGCTGGAACTTCAAATGTTGAGAATTCTGTCCGTCTTCACAACCTTTGATCTCTCAAGTAACAACTTCCAGGGGCAGATCACACAAGTCATTGGAGATCTCATCGCACTTCGTGGGCTAAACTCATCTCATAACAGCCTTCAAGGTCAAATCTCAGAAGCATTGCCAAATTTAACTGTTCTTGAATCATTAGACCTGTGATGGAACAAACTCGATGGGGATATTCCCCAGCAACTTGCTTCCTTGTCTTTTCTTTCTGTTTTCAATGTCTCTCAGAGCCATCTTGTTGGTAGCATACCTCGAGGAAAGCAGTGGTACATTTGATAACAGTTGTTACACAGGAAACAGCGGATTATGTGGATTTCCTTTGTCAGAAAGTTGTGGAACTAATGAGTCGTCACAGCCAGTACCGCAACTGGAAGTCTGGAACTGGATCAAGAAGATAATGAGGAATTTTTCAGTGGATTTACTTGGAAAGCTGTTTTAATCGGTTATGGTTGTGGAATGGTGATTGGAATAATCATAGCATGCTTCATTTTCTTAACCGGAAAACCAAAATGGTTCAATAAAATTGTACAAGAAGCAGCCTCCAAATTGGTTAGAAAGAAATAGCCCAAGTTTGTGACTTTTGTGATTTAGTATTCCTTTTTTTTTTTTTTTGTGTTATACTACTCAACCTGATGAGTTGGTAAGAGCAGGGAAAGTGCCTGTAGAAATGAGAAATGGCAAAATGAAAGTTATAAAAATGATTAGTCTGATAAATTATGAACTTTCCTGTAATATAATTGAATAGAATTAAAGGTGTCACCATTCGAACTATTTAGACTTGATATTTTACTTTCCATGTATTCTTGAGAATCTTTGTATTTTTTACAAAGTAAAACAAGAAACACCTATGATCAAATTCGATATCCATGTGCAAGAACATTCCATCCCAAAGTAGAAATAAGCTAGCCCAAAATTTGGGAAAAAGCTTTGCATTTTGGTTGACTACTAAAGGGCACGTTCTTTGCAGGTAGAGGGAGATCATTTGATTTGACCATTATTTTTATGGATCTTCTTCTAAGCTATATAGTATAGTCGGATGGAGCTTGAAGGAGCATTCGACACACCTCTATAACATATGGTCCTTTTCTCGCGACAGTATGTCGAAATTCTTATTCATCTTTGGCTTTATTTTGGATTGAAAGGATGACTGGATAAAAAAGAATAAGAAGAATTTGAAAAAGAAACAAAGTAGAAACCTAAAACATATATTTTTTTTGAATATAAAACTGTCACATTCAAACATAAATTGTAGGAAAGCAGTAAAAGATATGCAATAAATGTTGATTATTAATAGTTCAATTTTTCTGTTATTTAATCTTCTTGTTCATTTCTCTGTTTCGAGTCATTTTGTAGTTTTTAGAACTTATATCGAAACACCATCTTTAATTTTGGATGAGGGACTCCTACCATTGCGAGTGCAATAGCAGGGTATGCTAGACTAGATCTAAGCTTTCCAATTTAAAAATAAAACAAAAAATTTATTGTTTGAAAATTTGAATTGGACGGCTCAGATCTGACCATCAATGGTGGATTGCAGTGGCCAGTCCATTGGCAACTGTAGAAACCCTGTATCCTTCCAACTTTAGTTATCCGCCTTGTTCATTGAGTAGTACGTTTAAAGCTAAACATATGCATATTCCAAGCTTCTTTCACATTCATATACTACATTACCGAAATTGTGCACCATAGATTCTTTTGACTGAAATCAAGAAATTGTTTACATCAGGGGATCATAAGTTGTCAAGCAAGAAGTTTGAGCATACTCCTTAGCAAGTTCTACTGTCATTTGTACAGGCAAGGCCTACTGTCATTTATTCTGACTAGGAGCAGAATAAATATGCATCATACTATCAAAAAACTGCAATCAGGATATCTTTGCGTAAAAATTGTAGTCATGTGCTCATTATTGTGCCTAGAAAATTATGGATTTAGATACAACAAAATTATGGATTGATCCATAAACACATACAGTTTTTGCACCTCCGAAGCTACTGACAACACTTAGCAATTAAGTACAACCTTGGCTTGCCAAGCTTCTAGTCTTGTCAACTCCATCTGCTATAACCTTATGGATTTTCCTTCCCCATTAGGCCATAAGCTACTTTCCCTGGACAAATCACATAAGTTGATCAGCTAAAGTAGAAAAAAATATTGATTTGGTAAGAGCTGATGCAGTTGCAATGGACCAAAAAATAAAGTACTAAAATTAACCAACAAATTAAGAAGCATAAGATGTTTGATACCCTCAATGCTGAAGTCTCTCTTGGTGCCTTCACTTAATTAAGGTCAAAGATTGCTGCAGATTCTGAAGCACTTCGATCAAGTTGTCCATTATGTTAGGCTTTGCATTCAAAATCATCAAATTTGTGGATGTCACATAAAGCATCTTATTCCACACAAAATTGTGTTTGATACGTCTGCTTGGTATTGAACCTCCACAATAAGCCTGAAACGAATAGACATGCTTAGCCATGCTTCAAACCGACAAAATGTCAACACTTCATTGAAGAGAAAATAAGGACATGAGGCAGCAAAAAAAGTTACTCCGTAACAACTGAAATACTAGCATTCATGATACTTATGACATGTGAGATTGAAGAGTATAACCACGTAACAGCAAAAGAATCTGTCCAACTCAAGTGGAAACTGGAAAAGAATAATAAAACTGGCAGATTTCACACCACATGTTCTCTTTTCAAGAGATTAAACAGTTGGAATTCGCACAATTTGCTCAATATATAGCTGAAACTGTACTTTATTTTATTCTTGTAATATTGTTCTCAAGAGACTGCTGAAAGTCACAGCATTTCAAGTTTTTAATGCATTATAAAAGCTCTTTTTCATTTGTTCAATAAAAAACTGAGCTAAAATTTTGGAACATGGTTCCATGCTGGAATTTACAGTGCTTGAAGTTTGAAAACAGCTTCAAACTCAATTTAAGAATCTTGCCTATCTTCCCCTCCTCCCTTCCAGTTTTTTCCAGTTACAGAAGTGCCCTCATTCCACAACGTTTATTTCTTCTGTTAGACTCATTCTGTAGATTTGAATTTTCTTTATGTTTTGCCATCTCTGATAGATAAAAGTAAAACTCATTTAGGATCTGATTCTGTTTTATTCAAAAAGGACTACATAGATATGCAAATGAAACACACCAGCAGGATCAGATACAAAGACTCAGGAGTTTACAGTAAAAATGTCAAGCTTTTGTGAAAGACACTGGCAAGTTAGTGTGACATCTCATGTTCCTCATGCAAAAACAATAGAAACTGGAGAAGATTTTCAACTCGAAAACTCATAAGCATCAGGAAACAATTAAAAAGATTACTATGTTATGTGCAAGAGAATTACCCAGAGAACTTATCTAAAGCTGCAACTTCTTTCGGCAGAATTTCCTGCTAAGAAGCTGTCAAATTCCTTCCTTTTTGACGTTTTAAGATATCTCAAACTCTTCCATTTTGTTCAACTCCTCAAAGAAAAAGTCTTCTATTTCGATCTGCAATGGAACAGAATACTGTAATTGTTAACAACAAAGCTTATCAATCAAACTATCAGTGAAGGTTCACTTTTAGGGGATATATTGGAGCACAACAACTTTAACCTCTTCAGAAAGCATGCACTCAAGCTAGCTTGTAGAAAAACCAGTGGTATAAGACAAGACCTATTTTGTATTCTGCCGACATTACCATAACCGTGCTTTGTAAATGAAGAGCTATGCAAAATTACAATGGCAAAAGTCACTTTGGAATAAAAGTAAACAGAAACAAAAAAAAATGGTTTCTGTCATAAATCTATAAATAAAGAAACTAAAACAAAGATGTCAAAACAACATGTTCCCAGTTGAAAGTCTAAGTTCCCAAATGCCTAATATATTACAGCTCACATTTGACCTCAAGGTAACTGATTCTCACAAAAATGTCACGGGACAAAAGATTTTGATGCACGAATAATTTGCTAAACTCTAGTACTTGCATGACTAGAAGTATGTGGTAAAGTTTCAATCCAAAATCAAGATGATTACCTGAAATACAAATCTTAATGACTGATGAAGATCTTGAGACCTTCAATCCCTTGCTCCTCAATGTCCCTGACTGACTCTTCTGTGGAAAGGCCACAACGTTGCACTTGAATCATCAGCAAGGTAGGAATTTCCCCAAAAGAGAATGGAACTGCCTCAAGTTCTTTGCAGTGTCGCAAAACTAATTGCTGAAGGTTGAGAAGGTGATCGCAAGTCGCATTCCACTCAACAACATTCAGAGAATCTAACTTCAGGAATTTCAACTTTAGGAACTCCCCTTCCCTCATGTCCCATATCCGGCCCTCAAAGGCATTAGAAAGTAATTTGAGAACCTCAAGGTTTTGTAGTCTCCCGATAGCAGACATATGTTTCCATGGCAGGCGAAGCCTAGACAAAGTCAATTTTTTTAAATTCAGGGGGAAGCTCAATTCCCCCTGATTAAGGGCCCTACCAGAGATGTTGAGTGATTCAAGCTGATTTAGAATGTCAAATTGTGCAAATTGATCACATCCCATAGGAGAACTCGGAGATTCAAAAACAATGCATCTTAACCTGTGAAGATTGGGAAATCTCCTCAGTATCTTCAATGTCTCCTTCCCTCCAGAAAGAGCTGGTGTGGAAAGAGTTACTAAGTTATCCAATACCAAGGAACTTTCAAGCTGGTCGTCTTGCAAATCGAACATTGCACAACTATTTACATGAACATGTCTTAACATTCTCATGCTCCAAATAATAACCGGTAACACAACCATACCTTTTAATCCCTTCACAACAAACGTCTCTAGTTTCCAGAGGCTGGCTATTGATGATGGAATAGAATCCAGATCCCCACTGACAGCTAAGTACCTTAGTTGAACTAATAAATCAAATCCAATGGGAAAGAACATCCCCATATTGATGGATTCCAAATCCAACACCCTGAGAAGTTTAAAATTTTGAAAAATGAATGTGATATCATATGGGCATCTGGGATACCTATCAGCAATTGCAGAAAATAGCAGAGACCTTGTTCTTGGACCAGAAGGTTTTGATTTGATGAAATGCCTTCTCTCCAAACAAATGCAAAGCCGATGTCTTTCATATATTAATGGTTTTGAAGGGTAATAAAGATCAAAATCAACATCATTATCTAAACCATCAAAAGAAGCAAATGGTTCATCACACTTGGTAATTGGCTGCAAAAACATTTCTTCCTTAGATCTTGACAGGCACAAATCATGTAGCATGTCATGAACTCGACATGTTTTGACCCTACCCATGGATCTTCTTTTAGAAACCAATACAAGGCTTCGACTGATTAAGTCCATCAGGTAATCCTCTCCAATATCCTCTAAGCTTTTCTCTTCACTTTTCTTAATAAAACCTTCAGCAATCCACAACCATATCAACTTGCGCACAGAGATATCTTTGTCCTCCAGGAATGC